TCAAGCTTGATGAACTTGAAAATTGATCCATCCAAAGGATCAAATGCTTACTTGTAAGAGCTATGACAACAACATTGTGGAACTTCGACGCTGAAAGCTTGGACATCACTAGTAACTCAAGAGAGAATATCTGGAGAGAGATTCATGATCAAGGTTTGAAAATAAAACTTAACTGGCTAATTCAACTATTAACAGACCAAATGACTAGTTCCATTAGTCTAGAAAAACAAACCTAACATTGCAATGATGGGAACTAGTTACTAACATTCTAACCAACAAACCTTCAAATCGGCCTTGATTTTATAAAATCCTTCACTTTAAGTTTTATACTTCTAATCATTGTGATTATAATAGAGTTTCTTGAATAATAATATAGTTCTTAAAATTTTGAATTCTCATATACAATAAAAAAATTTTAATAAAAAAAAATAACCATCATGGCCATCAAATGTGCTACAAGATTTCATCTATCAAATTTGTTCTTCTCTATTTAAATTTTATAATGTTATGATTTCTCTATGATGTGAGACTAAATCGGCTATAAGAACACACACGAACCGCAACATGCAGCGAAATCTCTTCTATCAATATGAAAAAGAAAAATAAAAAAAAAATAATTAAAAAATAATTAAAATGAAATTTAAGGCTAAGGGAGGCAAGTCTAAACAATTGGTATTTATTTAATTAAATATTTCTTAATTTAATAACAAGGTTAGACCAACCTTTCTTTTAACTTTATTATTATTATAATAAGAAGAAGAATTTGTACCATCTTTAAAACTTAATATCTAATAATAAAATCAATATAAAATTAAATTTTTATTTGAATTTTTTAATATAGTAATATTATGTGATATTCACCCATATGTCATATTATATAAATAACCAAATAAAATTAAATATTTTATTTCCTTAAATTCTATTTTATAATTAATAAGCTTTTAAGTAGATAAATTATACATATATTCTTCCGACAAAGAAGATACAGAGGAAAAAATAAATAAATAAATACTATAAATAAAGAAGAAAAAAAATAGGTCACATATTTGGGAAATTTACATGCATGCCCCCTCAATTCTTATGTAATTATATATCTAAAACCTAATTTTTTTTATTTTTACATGTATGCCCCCCAAATCTTTTATATCACATTGAAAATATCATTATTTTAACATTTAAAACGTGAAACACATATTTTCATGAATATGTGGGTGTATATATGCAAAAATTAAAGCTTAGGTGTTAGATATATAAATACAATTTAGTCACACTTAAATCTTCAAATTTTGAATATCCATTTTGAATTTCAGGACCTTAGCCATGATTGTATTTTGATTTTGCTTAAATAATACCAATTTAAAATACCCAATAAATGGGACTTTTGAGGGACTAATGTCCACATATTTAATTTTTATTACTTTAAAATAAAAAAAAATACATAAAAAATATTAAGGATGCATAAAAATAAATACAATGTCCTACTAAAGGAGTCTAACAAATTGTCCCTAATCAAGCTAGATAAGTTATCTTCATATTTGTTTAGGTAGCGGTGCGGTGGCAGCGTGACACCACACCGCAGTTTTGCTCGTTTTGATAAACTGCATTTTGGTAGCTTTTTCAAAAAACTGCCACTGAAATCAACATTTCTCACCGGTCCTAGCTAGGTATGGTGGCATCTTTCTATCTGCGGTCTGACTTTTTCACAAAAAAAAAATTGTAATAGCCAATGCAATTTTTTTGCAACATCGGATTATTCTTCAGTAGCTTCACAACTGTTTCTTAATAAATTGCAACTGCTCCAAGCAGACCCTTAATAGAGTGATTATAGAGGAGCATTAAGCCTTCACCTTCACCCCTTCTTTAAGATTCTCCTCTATTTGAATTATTCATTTCATTAGTCCAAATCCAAACTCCAATCTTTTGTTAAAAGATGATATAAACACAACAAAAATAAGAATAGGAGAACATTAGGAAATTGAGTCAAAATCACAAGAACCATTTAGTTGATTCACATTAACTTGCCACCATTGAATCACTAAGAGTGGCACATGCATTGTAGATATGGTTCATTGCATTGAACACTACTATTGATAACTTTGGAGTATAAAAAGTTAATATTAGAGAAATTAATACTTTTTGCTATCTAAATATGATTGCAAAAATGATCTACATTCACCACTGCACACAAAGTAAATACTAGCACAATTTAAAGAGGCTAGAGAGTTATTAAGTTTTATTATTGAGAGTAAAGTGAAGAACATTTGTGTAGAGGCCACACTGAAGGGGTGAATTACATGTACAATTTTTTGACATAATGAAATTTTCTTGTGAAATACATCCCAACTCAAATCTCATATAATCAAGTACAATTAATATGAAATTTATAGTAATATCTATAGATTTTAGAAGTAATCAATAATATGTTATTGAACTATACACTTACACAAAGCTATTAAATGAATGATTATGTTGAATGAGAGTGTCATAAATATAAAAAATGATAGCAATATATAAAAATAGAAAATTATTCTTTCCAAAAAGCATAAATGTCAAGCGCAACATATATTATATTAAGACTAATAAACTTATGTTAGAGTAATAGTATTCTAGTATTATGGACCATGAAGATTAACACCAAAAAAGTTAAAATCGCTTATGATTTAGTACTATTGACTGTATACTAGAAGAACAAGTAAGTTAACACTCAATTTCTTAGTGAAATAGGAATATTATCGTTAGAAGATTGTAATCACATTGAAGAATGATATTCTTAGGAGACTTTGCAGAGTTAAGGGGACTTAACCAGGGGCAGAATTAGCCCTTCTTTTGAAAGGGACAAATTATTACATTAATAAATTTAATGCATGTCACATTTCATCCCTATTTAGACAGTGATATACTTTTCGGCCCCTTAATTGAAATTATGTAATAATTTTTATAGGATTTTAAAAAGGCTAAAATTTTGACATGTCAACATCAAAAGTAATCAAATAAAAAAATATTTTTTGGTAAAAAGATAACCAAAGATAAATCAATATAAGTTTAATTACAACAACAACAACAACAACAACAATTAAGCATGTGGGCGTGCTACTAGAGAGGTTGGGCAGGGGCGCTAGAGCTAGGCCTAGGATAACGAGTCCTAAGCAAGCGTGCTAGGGAGGCGAGCGAGGCCAAATGGAGTGGCGGAGCGAACTCTATGTCCTAAGAGAACATCAATCTTTTTATCTAGACTTGAAATTAATGTTGACAATTTTACTTTTCTTTTAATCTTTAACCTAAAATGGTAAGAATATGCTAACAAAAAAATAAGAAAAAAATATATAATTTAAATCACTTCATTAGATATTATAACATGAAAATCATTTCATAGTTTTTTAAACCCAATATATTTGATTTATGAATTTGTTTAAATGCCTACTCTACCAAAAATAAATTTAGATGCATACCATTCAATTCTTATGTATTTACATATTTAACACCTAAAACTTATATTTATATTTCATTTACTTTACCTTTGAAAAATTAAAAGTGATATTTTTATGTGTTATGAATGAGAAATGCTTTCAAAGCTTTGAAGTGGAGTGGAATTACGTTTAGTCCCATATCATAAAATCATAATTCTAAGTGCTCGTCAAATAGAAAAGAATATGTATATGTAGTTCTATTTTTGAACCTGTGATGGGTTGACTTGAACAAACTATAAAATATAAAATTATTTTAATATTAAAAATTCATTTTTTATTTCAGGAAGATAAATTTCATCAGAGAACATGAAAGTTAAGGGAAAAAATTTGCGTACATAAGAGATAAGCAGAGCTGCATACGTCTGTAAACTGAAAATAGGTTACAAGGAGGATATTTGGAGGTTATAACTGTGTTATAGCCTCTGTAACCTCCCCGTAACATACTTGTATCTTCTAGTAAGTTCCACGCTTTTGTTTTCATATATAGATAGGTTACAGTGAGTTTATAGGGGCTATAACGCAGTTATAACCTCCGAATATCCTCCCAATAATCTATTTGCAGGTTACAGACGTACACAACTCTGTGTACGTCTTATGTACGCAAATTTTTTTTCCGAAAGGAATAAGAGGGAGGAGCAGACATACATTTTTTGGGGTGCAATTGACCAAATAACCCCTGTATTAGCTAAATCTCAAAATTTAGGGGTTGCCTCTTTCTCAAATTAGAAAAAAACTCAAAATTGTATTTTTTTGAATTAAATCTGCAATTAATAAATTAATAATTAGACATTTGATTAATAACTCATTTATCATGAGATCATATTTGTATTTATATGATCTATTAGACTGCTTAATCGACACGTATACATATGAGAGATTTACTCTTAGGATCTTTTTTGGGGGATCTGACATCCCGACTCTAACTGGACCTTTCTCGCCCTCTCTCATCAAATCATCTTCTTCGCTCCACCGAACGAGGATCAGAAAACATAACACATAATTCAAACCTAGATAACACAACCATCCTCTTCCTTCACTTTTCTTACACAGGTCTCTCCCAGACTATATGAGCTCACAAACAATCAAAACCCGACATCCTAAAACGATTCAACAATTTCAAATTCCATAAGATGTGCGTTCCCAACCAATTTAATTAATATGAACAGCAAGCTTCCATAACTACTAAACCATTTATTGTGTGCTTCCAACCACATAATCATAGTGAAAGTGTGTTGCATTGTCACATTCAATACTCAAAACAAATGCATTTTTGAGCTAATTTTGGTGGCTATTGAGTGCTGGAAGATGACAACATTTTGATTTTTCAAAGGTTTCATAGCATTGCATTGGTTGATATTATTTCATTCATGTCCAATGATGAGCTAGTTTGTTTTTTTGGGGGCATTTATAGACTACCACCCAATCCCAATTTTTTTACATATCTAACATCTACATTTTACTTTTTTACATTTATCATTCAAGTTTGTAAGATAAAAAATTCACTTGTTAGATATGTAAATGTGAAATGCTAAATTTAGGTGTTACATATGCAAATACATAGGAACAAGATGGTATGAATATAAATATGGAAAATTGTGGGTGGCTCAGTTCATAATAGGAAAGGTCTTAATTATCTAAGAACTTATAGTCTGACTGGTTTGAGCCTCTTCCCTAAAAGCAGTTGCTACTTCAAAACCTGGAGGGATAAAGACAACATCATCCCAATCTGATGCAGAGCTTCCCTGAAATGTTAATATGCATATTTACAGTCAGCAGGGCAAAAATGCAAACTTTCGATCATCCGTTGAATTTGCATATCTAACATCTAAACTTTACTTTTTACATTTATACCGCCCAAATATTTGATATCACATAAAAAAAAATCACTTTTTTCACTTCAGAATATGAATTAAACCTTTTCATGCATGGGTAAAGAGGTTTGTATGAAAAAATTGAAGTTTATATATTGGAAATGTAAATGAGTAGGAATTGAATGTAAATCTTCCAAAAAAAAGTCCTCACCTTCATTGCAGATATGATTTCTTCCAGAACAGACACCTACAATCAATAAAATTCAATATTTGCAGTTACTATAAAGCTAAACAGTTTAATTATGTTCACCTTAATGGCAGCTTGATTATGACATAAACATATATGCATTTATATTTAGGGGCATTTGCATTTCACTCATATGATCATATCTTAGACATTTACAATCTGACACAAAGATTTTACTTCTATATCTATAACAATCAAAATTTTCAAATCACATCAAAAATATCACTATGTTAACTTCTAAAAAGCGAATTACATCTTTTCATATATAAATATATAAATTGAAGTTTAGGTGTTAGATATGTAAATACATCAATTAAGTGGTGTGCATGTAAATCTTCCTTATATTTATATTTTTATGCATGAATAGATTATGCACAGATATATTTATACATTGATATTTATAAAAATATATTTACACAAACTTCGAGTAAACTTTATGGTCATGAACAGTTTGTTAGCTTAACGAGCCCTGAGTGAAGCAACAGTATAAGCTCGTTCAAACTCGGCTCGTTACCTCTCTAGTCGCAAATAGGGCTGTTAATAATCCAATTTCGAGCCGAGTTGTATTCTGCTAAAAAATATTCAATCCAAAATTTTGGCTCGTAGCACAACTTGTTTATTTCGATCAAATCCAAAATTCAAATTAATTTCGGGTGATCATAGATCTCCGAGCTAAATTCGTTAAATTTAGAGGGCTAACAACACTAGGATTGTTAATGATCCGATTTAATCGGCTCAAAAAAAAAAACGATCCAAAAATTTGGCTCGAAGCTCGACTCGTTTATTTCGATCCGAGCCAAAATTTGACTTAATTTTCGAGCGATTAACAATCTTTGAGTTAAATTCACAGCACGAGTTGAAAGTCTCACCTCAATGTTACCCTTCCTGAAGGCAGGATTTAATTGTCTCTGATCACGAGAAGCTTTAAAGAGCAAGTCTTCGAGGTCCTCCTAAATAAAAAAGGAAATAAAATTAAACTTCAATATAGATAAAATTAATTAGGGTTATTTACATAAATATCACACAATTCTAATGTATTTACATATCTCACACTTAAACTTTCATACCAAAGTGCAAATAAGATGAAAGTCTAGGTGTGAGATATGTAAATACAAAAGATTTGTGTGCTTGGTATGTAAACTTCCCAATTAAGGAGCATTTACATAAATAATCTATCTTCTCTTAACCTTCCTGAAGAAGGCTGGGCGATAGCTTTTACCCTGACTCCTCAAGACCAAGCTCTTTGACTGAAAAGCATTTGGAATATAATCAATAAATAAACAAATAATAATAATAATAATAACAATAATAATAATAATGGGGCATTTTCATGCATACACCCAATTCCTATGTATTTACATATTTAACACTTGAACTTTGTTTTTTATGTTTGTACCAACCATATCATTCATATTACATCAAAAATATCATCCTTTAACTTCTAAACAGTGAAATAGACATTTTCATACATAGATAAGGTGGCTCGTGTACGTAAAAATTGGAGTTTTAGCGTTAGATATGTAAATACATAGGAATTGAATTGAATGCATGTAAATCTTTCTTTTTTTATATAAATTACAAGAAAACTTTCAAATTTGAGATTATTTATAGAAGAACCTGAAATACTGGCACTCCAAGAAAATCATCAGCAGCCTTCCTAGACTCCTCTTTCAGCTGAAAAATTTGAATGCATGCATTCAGAACTGCATGAACCATAAACTAAGGGCCACTTTAAAATCATTTTTTATTTTTATTTTTGTTTTTATTTTAAAAAATATATTTACTCAGTGTATTTTTTGTCTTTTTTAATCTAAAGCAAAAAATTCTTAATTGATTTACATATCTCGCGCCAAAACTTTCGTATCATCTAAAACCACTTTTTCAAAATGAAATACACAGTTTCAAGCATAGGTTTAAAACATCAATGTGCTATGTAAATATGAAAGTTTAGGGGTGAGTATATAAATACATAAGAATTGTGTGCTATATCTAAAACAATTAAGCCTATTTTATGAGTTGCTATTCAATTAACCATCATGAATATCCAAACAAAGTGCTCCTTAACATTATTTAAACAGTATTTAGGACTTATCTAAAGCAATAAACATTATAACAAACTTCTAAACCAAAAATTTTTCTACTTTATCAAATCACAATGCTCCAAAACAAATATTAATAAAATCGAGGCAACTCTAATTAAAGTTCTATGTTGCAACAAATAAAGTATATTAACTCTCTTGATGTTCATGAAAACCAATGCACCTTCATAAACACTAAGGATCTTAACATTTGCCAATGAGCTCTATCTTATTTGACCAAGATCAGTCAAAAATATAAATTTCTTCATAAAGGGTAGATATACATCAAGCCATAAACACAATTTCAACTTCAATGTGTCAAGCCCAACTATATTTCAGATTATATTATTTCACATACAAAAATAGCTATTACCACATAACAAATATGTTGTAACTAAGTTGAATTAGAATCATTAGAATTAAACGATCATTGCATTTGTCTTCAACAACCAGCAAATGAGCATCATCAAAATCTGCATATCATTGATCTATAAAACAATGGTAGCATCTATTAATTTAAACTCTTCAAATTTTTCATTCGCACATAATATTCATTACTTTTTAAGTTTGAAAATCTCTCTTAAAAAGTCCTTTACAATTAAAATCATGTCCTTGAACTTGTTACGATTGATGCTTATGCCATGATTGAAGGTAAAACACTCTCAAAAGTTCAAGGACATGATTTTAATTGTGAAGGGCATATTCAAATGGGCATCATAGTTTTTATCCAACTTTTTATCTCTTGCACCTTCAAGCTTAAAAATCACATTTTTATGAAAATGCAAAATTTTTTATTTCCAAGTTGATAGAATCTTTCCTATACAATACTGTCACAAAATACCGGAAAAAAAAGACAAATAGCACAATAGTAATAAAGAATGATCATTGTTATCAGCAATCACATTTATATTCATAAGATATCTAGCAATAAATTTAACTTGCTAAGATGTAATTCAATGGGCATACGATCTTATATGCATAGCAAATATAATCAATGACTTTTATGAAGTTTATTGGAAATATTTTCAGTCTTATACAAAAACTTTAATTTGAACCACAACTCCACTATGGTTATGTCCTCCAACATAAAAGGTCTCATCTTCTAAACACAATTGAATCACAAAGACAATATATATATATATTAATAACTAAATTTTTTTAATTCATCTCTACTTTAACAAAGTAATGGGCATATTCAAATGCCAATAAGTGCCTTTGCAAATGCATGTTAGATTACCCACCACACATATTGGCTCTCCAAAGCCCAAAACTCTTTAGCCATCAAATTTCTTGATCCATACTAATGGATCTTATATTCCGCATTAAACTCTCATGCTGGTTGTTATAAAAAATCCTTACTTTTAATACTTAATTGCTTACTAAAAGAAAAATATAATGAAAAAGTGAAGTAAAAATAAAAAGGCTAAAAACCACAATAAGCCTCGAATCTTTCAAGAGAAGAAATGGGAAAACCGAATAAAAGAAAGGAGATATGATAAATACAAAATATTCAACAACGCTAAAAATTCTCCACTTAAATACTCCTCAAAAGTGTATTATTATACATGCCTATGTATGTGCATGAAATCATTGTATCATCATGATCATATTTGCACAATATCTAAATAATTCTCCACGATTACAAAAAAAAAAACCATTCAAGTGAATTTCTTGTCTTTCACTCTCTTCTCTCAACCCCCTCTTAATTTATTTTCCCATGTTTTCTTTATTTAAGCCGTAACCATCCTTCAACTTTCAAAGCATCCAAAACACCCCTACATCCACTTGCCCCCTTTCAGCTTACAGACCTATGTCTATGCAATCAACACTTCCTTTTGGCCTTCTAAATCTAAATTTTGAGTAGGAAAATTTTAAATTTAAATTATGTTCCAATTTTAACTTCATGCTATCTAAAATAACAAGTTTTGCAATAATGTTCTAAAACTAATCTGATAAAAAAAAAGATAATTTGAAATCATTGTAAAAAACCACATATTCACAATTTTTTTTCTTTGCCTTGAAAATTTATTGAGAAAAATCTAAAAAAATTGAAGTGCTGTTTTTATATTAGTTATCATCCATATTATTTAGCTCTAGTCTCTCCAAAAAATTATTATTCTATCTAATTTGATTTGTTAATATAGCTTGATAATAATGTAGTTCAAAAATAGATGTTATTAAACTTTTGTACATGTATAATTAGTACATATAACTCTAAACATAACTTGATTCCGTTAAGTAAACATGTTTTATTTTGTTCTTCATTCTTTGAAGACAAAATACTTGCACATCTCTTTATGCATGGCACTCTTAAAAACCCAACTTTTTAAGAAAATGAAATGTATGTAATATGACATCTTAGTTAAAAACATAGGAAAAGACTTTGAGAACAAGCCAACAACTAAATATACTAGAGGACCGCAAATAAGACCTTCAAATTGTAAAATTTATCGCCCATATCTATGAAGCTTGGATTCTAAGTACACTGATGGCACTGCATATCAAATATGTTAGCATCTTCCAAGAAGAATTAGAAATTTGAAACTCACAAGATATTTATAAAAATTCATCAATATGTGAATGCCATTTTCAGCAAATACACAGTTTTTTAGACTAATGGAAAGTACAAGGATACATATGTCAGTCCTAACTAACTAGCATAGATTTCAACCCTCGATAAGTTATTACTTAAATCTAAATTTACATGTCTAAATCATCTCAAGGAACCTCCAACATTATTCCTCCAATGATTGCTAATTCTATGACCAAACCAAACTATTTTTATGCATTCACTTTAATTCAATGAAAAAGCAATAAAGCATCCTCGTTGCTATTATATTCAACTTTTATCAGTGTATTACATGTAATAAAAGGTCAGTTTCCATTGATCCAACATTTACTTCACCTCAATAAGCAAAGTGTGAATGAAATATCAACATGAATAAATTCACATTTCATACAGGGAATGAACAGGCAAAGAACCAGCAAAATTCCAAGTAGGAAGAAACATTTTTGCGGCTTTTTCCTGATGGCATGAAACGAATGTACATTTCCTGATTGGAAGATTTGAAATTAAACTGAAGGGGCTTTTACATATATAACACTCAATTCTGATGAATTTATATGTTTAACACCTAAATTTTGTCTTTTGCATTTATGCCACCAAAATCTTTCACATCACATCAAAAATACCACCATTTTAACTTTTAAAAATTGAAATACACCTTTTCACGTATAAGTAAGGTGGCATGTATGTAAAAATTGAAGTTTGGGTGTTAAATATGCAAGTATATAGGAATTGAGTGGCATGTATGTAAATCTTCCTGAACTTCAATATAGAGAACATTTCAAAATTTGAATGAGAAAACCATTAACAACTTAAAAAATGAAAGCTTTAACAAGTTTAACATCAGAGAGCGAGGCAATAAACCAAAATAGCTCATATGCTAGTGTTGGCAAGAAATAAGCCGTCTTTATTTCCATAATAAAAAATATATAGCAAGAAATGAGAGGCGTATCTAGAATTTAAAAGAACCAACTAAAAATGAGTTCGAAATTCATTTTAGGGGCATTTACATATATCACACAATTCTTATGTATTATGTATTTACATATCTCACACAAAAACTTTCATACTTACACACATAGCACTCAAATCTTTTAACATCACATAAAAAAAGCACTATTACAACTTTTTAAAAGTAAAATACAGCTTTTCATGCTTAGGTTTAAAGCTCCCAAGTGCTAGGAATGTAAATAAGAAAGTTTAGGTATGAGATATGCAAATACATAAGAATCGTGTGCTATGTATGTAAATTTCCCTTCATTTTAATGATGATGGTGAAGCAGTAAGAGAAGCACATAGTAGATGCTTTCATATATGGTTATTGCAGTGAACTCCAACCCCTCAATAGTAATACTCTAACAAGTAATTCAGCACAAATTGTTACAGAAAATTGAATCTGGAAGGAGAGAAGCAATAATTAATGGTAAATTACAACATGAAGAGCAAGGAAACTATGTACACAAAATCATGAGCCTGTCAAATATAACAGCATCAAACATTGCATTTACATACTACCCAATTCTTATATATTTACATATCTAACACCTAAATTTTACCTTTTACATTTATACCGCTTCAATCACTCATATCACACCAAAAGTATCACTATTATAACATTTGAAAACTGAAATGCACCCTTTAATGCATAGGTAAGGTGCCATATATGTAAAAACTACATTGTAATTGTTAGATATGTAAACACAGAAGTATTTAATGGCATGTATATAAATCTTCCAAAATAAAAAATAAAGAGATGCAGTGATCAGTGTAAAGTCCATAAATAGGGAAAAGTATATAACACAACTTTAACAGTCCTGAAGTACTTCAATTTAAAAATATCCAAATCTCTTACCTTAATCGCATTCAGAACTTGTTTTGGATCCGGAATGAGCCTAAATGCAACTCCGTCAACCTTCAGCTGAAAAACCTGCAATTTGCTGACATTAACAATCCAAAAGAAGCACAAAACGTGCAGCTTGCTGCTCCATCTCACAATTAATGATAAAAAAAAAAAAGATAGTCAATTTTCCATCGAAAACAATCCACTATAACCTTAGCCGCAACCAAAGCAATACCTTGTTGAGAGCGACGGCAACGACCTTGGAACCTTCGCTCATGTCTTTCTTCATTGCCTTCATCTGGTCCAGAAGCGTCTCGGCGTCCTCCTGCTTGAAGCAGAAGAGGCCGAGCGAACCTTCTGCTCTTATACCAGAGACGAGAACGAATTCCTCCGCCGCATTGCTGAGGGTGTACACAGGCACGCCGGAGAGCCGCTCCTCGATTGCTTCGACCGTCATGGCACGGCGGCGACCGCCTATGCCGGGCGGCGATATCCGCGCGAAAGATGGGATTCCATTAGGAAGGATGGATGGGTTTAAGAAGCTGAGCTGCAGAACTCTCCTGGTTTGGCTGCTAAGGGTTTGAATGGCGGAATCGAGCTGGGTTTTGAAAGAGGCGGCGGTGGGGTTGGAGAAGATGGCGGCCAGGGGGTTTGGGGACTGGGGAAAGAAGGGATTTTTATTGGGTTTTGGATCAGTTAGGGTGTTGGAATTCTGCATTTGGGGGACTCGCCATGGGAACGGCATGGGGGCGGTAATGTAAAACTCTATAGAAGAATCGGGAGAGAGGAAGCAGAGAGGGGGAGAGAGAGAGAGGGGTAGTGTTTAGTGAAAGCTACAAGAGTTAGGGCTGTTTGAAAACTGGTGGTTTAATTCGAGTGGGATTTAAATATGTCTTATAAATCCAAATTTAATTAATTTTTAGTAATAGAATTTTTTTAAAAATTTTTTTCGGCCAAACGTTGTGTAAATCGATCGCGTGTTTTACTTATTAAGTATGTACTTACAAAGATGAATAGAGTGATCACATCACATAAAACTAAAAATATCGTGACGTGACCACTTCATCAACCTTTGTAAAATACATACTTAATAAATATGCAACATTTTCTCCTCCAAGTGTGAATATAGACCTCTAACCACACATTGCACTAATTAGATTTTAGAAAATTCAAGTTGATGTTGAATTATGTACCACATGATTTTAAAAAAAGAATTAAATATATACCACATAATGTTTATATACATTAGCCCACAATTCTTCTGTATTTACACATCACACCTAGACTTTCATATATACCCACATTGTACTCAAATATTTAATATCACATTACAAATAACAATATTATAGTTTCATAATTATGCCAGTGAGGCAGGGTAGTGTTCCCTCCCTTCAACAATTCAAATGTTCTTACTCCAATTTTCATCTCTTTACTGTTAAAAAGATGAAAACCACTTCAAGATGAGGAAGCAAAGGATCCGACCGCTTCTCCTCTTTTCCTTCATTTGTTCTCTACTCCATTGCTCTCTCTCTTCTTCCTTTATTTCACCATGGCCGAAAGCCTAACACTAACTCATCTTCTCCTTGTTCTTAGCTTGGCTGAAAATCACTTCAACCCCATCCCTTATTTTGGTTTGATTAATCATATGTTTAGCCTATGTTTGGTTTACTTGAAGTGCTTAGTAATTCATGTATTATTTACATGTGTATGCTATTCACACATAATCAAAACAAATGTTAAATACATAAGAATCACTTCCTTAAGTTTGCTTTCATTTGGCATGCAAATCCTTATGGAAAACCTTGTGTTTATATGACAGATGGAAACTTTCAAGTTTATATCCCTTCAAACTTATAACCCTAAACCCTAAACTTCATTTTTATGTTTCTTATGAAATATATTATGTTTATGTGTCTTATGGAAAGTCTCACATTTATATGTATCATGGGAAATTTCAAATTTATATGACTCGTGGAAATTTTCTTTTTTATGACTTACGAAAAATTTCATATTTATGTGCCTCATGGAAAGTCTCATGTTTATATGCCTTATGGAAATTTTCATATTTATATGACTCATGAAAATTCCATGTTTATGTGCCTTATGGAAAACCTAATGTTTATGTTCACTATAGAAAATTTCATGTTTATGTGACTTGTGAAAAATCCCATATTGACGCGCCTTATAAAAAATTTCATGTTGAAGTGGATAATGGAGAAACTTCATGATTATGTGGTGTTATAGAAGATTCCATGCATATGTGTTGATATTCTTTCCAACATCTTGTGAAAATATGTTTATGTGAAAGTGTTTAATCTCTTATGCAAAACTTCATGCGTACGCATGCACGCACTAATGTGCTTATAAAAAAACAAACGTGCAAGTTGTGTGCTATCATATTTCTTCAAAAATAATGCAGGTTGTGGTTTAATATATTTCTCGAAAAATCGTGCAAGTTGCGGTTTGATATATTTATCCAAAAATCATGCAAGTTGTGGTTAAATGTATTTATCCAAAAATCATGCAAATTGTGGTTTGATATGCTTATCTATATATCATGCAAATTCTCGTGTTTGTGTTGTTTTATGAAAAGGCCATGAATGTTATGTTGAAGATCCACAAAAAGGTGTGATTTCTAAATAATGTAATTAGAGTTTGCAAGTTTTTGGGCCAAGGGTAAGACCACTTTTAACTTTCAGGTTCAATTCATGAGAATTTACACATCTAGAAAGGAAAATATTTGAAAATTTCTAACAAATAAAGAAAGTTTTTTTTATATATATATAAAAAAATCAATTAATTTTAAATGTGCTCTAAAGGATAAGAATTGAAAATTTCTAAGAAAAAAAAAGAAATATTTTTATGAAAATAATCAATTAAATCTAAACATGCATTAAAGTTTTAAAATTATATTTATCAAAAAACTTCATGTCAAAGGATTCAAAGATGGTTTTCAAAGAAAACATGTATATTATATTTACATTAACTACTCTTAAATTGGCGTCGAGGTAGGGGGCGCCGAGCGGCTTGGCTTCTCCCGCTCCGACCGGAGATGCTTCCACTTCCTTCCAGCTGAACCGAAAAAAACTAAGTGTCTTGGGGGAGCCTTCCCAACGAACACCATAAATCTCAACACCTAACAAGAAAATCTTTTGATTGGTTAGGAACAACTCTCCGTTAGAAATGATAAATAACAAAACAGTTTTAGAAATGAAATGAAAACTAACTTCGTACCTTTTGTGTCGGCTCCACCGAGAACCCATGACTTTGGTGGTCGAAGAGCAGCAGCTACCTGTGGGCAGACAACCCGCACACTCAGATAGTCTCCTGCTTTGCCTCTTGAGAGTCGTAGGCCCCCCCACAGTTGTTGGTCATATCATCGAACTCCTTCAGCCACAAAACCTTGTTACGAATATCGGAGTCCAAGTATTGGTGCACCAACAACGTCCCCTATGATCATGTCCCCGTATGCCTTCAAGGATCTCAGTAGGGCCTTGACCTTCTTGGCAGCATTCACAACTGACCAAATCAGCCCTGCCGACTATTTTTAGAAATCCAGTCGTCCGCCCGTACCTCAAGAGTCCACCAACTGATGTTCCCTATCCATCTGGCCCACCAGCAGCACCGTTCGCTTTACCTCGTTGACCCAGTAGACTAAGCCAAAAAACTAGGCCTTGGGCCAACAGGAGTACAATCTCTAGAATAACTTTTACATGCCCTATTAAAATATAGACATTAATTTAACTTCAATTATTGTACTCTTTTGTCTATAAATAGAAGATCATTTCATAAATTAATGTTGCAAAATTTCCTCATTTCAATGTTCCTCAGTGCACTCCTTTTTCCCCAATATCTCTCTCTTTCTCTCTTCCTCGTGTGCTATAAGCTTCTCCATCACATACTTCCGTGATTGCTTTGATATTTTTCTATCACCTCGACGAAGTCCCATAATCTCCCAAATGTTTTGATGTATCTATTTATATTTCGTCCTATTTTTTATTTTTCTATCACCTCGAGGAAGTCCCATAGTCTCCTAAATGTTTTGATGCATCTATTTATATTTCGTTCTATTTTTTTTATTTTATTATTTTGTAATTATTCTTTCTATTAATTTAATGTTAGGCGTTGCTCTAAAATTCATTTTTTGTTGGGACATACAATTTATTCAATCACTCAAAGTCAACGCCGGCGACGGACCGTTAACCCGCGCAGTTCCATCACTAGGGAAGCTTTCCTACGCGCCAACTCAAAGGCGGCATCTTTTAACTCCTTCCTCCTCCTTCTTCCATCTCCAAACCCTTATCAGAAGTAACAGAATCACTTACACCTCCCGCCATGGAAGAAGAAACCAGGAAGCTTCACATCGTGATGCTCCCCTGGCTCGCCATGGGTCATCTCCTCCCTTTCTTCGAGCTCTCCAAACGCCTCGCCCTTAAAAACCTCCAAATCTCCTTCTTCACCACCCCCTCCAACATCCTCCGCCTCCCTTCCATCCCCCAAACCCTAACCCCCTTCCTCACCTTCATCCCCTGTTCTCTCCCTGCCATCGACAACCTCCCCTCCACCATCGAAAACACAGTCGATCTCCACTCCGAGGCCGCCAGGCCTCTCCTCAATCAAGCCTACGCCGCCTTCGAACACCACCTCATCGCCTTCCTCTCCGATCCCTCTCGCCCCAAACCAAACTGGATCATCTACGACTTCGCCGCCACAACATGGGCTCCAACCCTAGCCTCCCGATTCAACATCAACTCCGCTTTCTTTTCCCTCTTCAACGCCGCCGTCCTCTCCTTTTTCAGCCATTGCCTCGACTGCAACTCACCGGAGAAGCTCACAAAAATACCTGATGGCATCCCGTTCCCCACCACCGTCGCCTTCCGACCATTCGAAGCTCGCCAGATCCACTCCATGCTTCGCAGAAAACCCGATCGAACGGAATCCCAACCACAGATCAAACAATTGATGCTCATCAGAACGTGCAAGGAGTTCGAGAACAAATGGCTAGATCTGCTCGGGGGCAGATATACCCCGGTGGGTTTCCTCCCTCCATCTTCTGACGAGGAGGAGAGCGAGACATGGATGAGAATACACCAATGGCTTGACGCGCAAGAGGATTCTTCCGTCATCTACGCTGCTTTCGGATCCGAGGCGAGGCTTACGAGAGAGCAGATTGATGAGATCGGATTAGGGTTAGAGCAGAGTGGACTGCCGTTCTTCTGGGCTCTGCGATTGGGTTCCCCGCCGCAGGGATTTGAGGACAGGACGGCCGGGAGAGGGCTGGTGTGGAGAGATTGGGTTCCGCAGGCCCGATTGCTTGCTCATCCGGCGATCGGCGGGTTTCTGACGCACGGTGGGTGGAACTCCGTTGTGGAAGGGATGGCGGCTGGGGTAGCGATGGTGGTTTTGCCGATGATGTTCGAACAAGGACTGAACGCGAGGCATTTGGTGGAGAGTGGTTATGGGGTGGAGGTGGTGAGGGATGATGAAGATGGTTCCTTTTCTGGAGAGGAGATTTGGAGGAAGTTGAGGATGGTAATGGTGGAGGAGGAAGGAGAGGAGCTGAGGAAGAAGGTGAGGAAGGGGAAGGAGGTTTTCGGGAGCGAGGAGCTGCAGGAGGAATATATCGTTGAGGTTGTGAAGAAGCTACGGGAAAACAGGGAAGATGGTAGCACAACTGGTTTGATTGTATGACAGTTATTGTCCAAGGTATGTGCTTGATTTTATTTTTCTAGAATTAATAGGTTGTGAAATTGTTCAAGGAAATTTGCATGCAAATTAATGATTTTTTTTTTGGAATTTATATGTCTAGTATTTTATTTATGTTATTTTATCTTAATTCTTAAAGTTTATGCATAAAAAAAATATTTTTTTTACCATGCCATTTAAAAATATAACATCAAATTCATATATTTTTACATGTCTAATACAAGTGATATATATATATATATACATTGAAGGAAAATTCTAAATTAATACTCTATAAAGTGTATTAAGTATGATGAACATGGGAAGGAACAACTAAATTGTACATGGCACTAAGAAGCCAAGCAACAACAACAAAGCCTTAATCCCACTACGTGACGTCGGCTACAACAATAATACGGCTGACATCTCGACATAGATTTACATTGGGATATCATTTGCATTGCGACATATGGCTGGAAACATTGGACCCTAGAAAAAGCTGTGAAATTTCAGCGGAAAACGCAGGACTTGGTTTGAAATGAATGTTACGACTAGGTTTTATCATTTATCATGTGTTACAGTGGGAAAAAAATTGAAAATTTATATGGTTTAGGGTTAAACAAATAGTAGGTGAAAATAAAAAAAAAATGTTTAGAATATTGAATAGGAAGAAGATAAAATATGTTATGAAGGTGGAGAAGGTGAATGGAGAAAGTGCTGATGAAAAATCAACATGATGTAGTCGATATTTTAGATTTCAACTCATTGATAATTTTCTAATGTAATGTATAAATAAATCTTTTAAGAAATTATTTTTTATCAATATATTGGGAGTGTCATGATTTATTTTTGATGCGTGTTAGAAAATCTACGGCGGTAGAGTGACGGATTATCGTCTTAACATTGCATGAGGATTCAACACACACTTAGATGTAAATGAATCAAACTGTGATGACACCAGAAATTTTTACGTGGAAAACCCGTAAAGGGAAAAAACCACGGGATCTGACCCAGTTATAAAAATCCACTATAAATTGATGATTACAGAGACCCATTGTCCCACAGACGGGAAATGGTTACTAAATTTTCCAAGGTACAATTTCAACTAACGGAGTTTGGTTAGCGATAGTCGATGACAGTTGATGACGGTCGACGGTGGTCGACGACGGTCGCTGGTGGTCGACGGCGGTTTACGGTGGCCTACGGTGGTCGATGACAGTTGATGACGGTCGGGGGTGGTTGTGGGCGGGCGGTGGGGGTCGCCGGCGATCGACGATGACAGAGATGATGTTGAACTTGAACTCCTTCTCAAAGCCTCAAGTTGATGAGAAGTGTTTAATGATTTGATAGTATTTTTGGTGCAATTAATGCAGAAATATGAACCATTTTGATCGGACGACCTGGAGAGCTTCCCTTGATCGAATGAAGTTTGATGGACATTTGAGTGCCTTAAAGATGTCGGAATTGGGCAATCTTGGGCTCGTTAGATTCGTCTTGTCGAGACGCTATTCGACTATGAACTCGTTAGATTCGACATCCGTTTGACCTTTCAAATGCCTCAAAAAATCTTCCAAAAGTGGTTTAATGATTTGATCCGAGTTTGATCTCACTCGGATTGGACTAGTTTTTATATCATTGCGTCCGTTTCATCGAGCCGGTCAGTGTGACTATAAGTTTACCGAAATCAGAGCTCTGGATGACTCCTAATTGACGTTTGAATGTTTCTTGCTCAAAAGGTTACCTCGGGATTCGCGTCATGCCTCAAGTTTCGTAATGGATGATGTATCAATTTTTAAATTTTCTGATATGAAGCTGAATTAATTTTTTATGATGTTTTAAGTTAGTTTTATGTAATAAAATTTTCAGTTTGTGATGATCTATGATAATAAGTATATTGGGAGTGTCTTACCTTAATCCTGATACTCCACTAATAATGCCAAAATGAGACTTTTATGATATTTTAGATTTTATTTAATAATTTTTAGGTCAATTTTGTTTCATAAATATTTAATACATGATGAATAGCAACATTTGGAGCAACGAGCAATTTGGCTAAAGAAGTTTAAGTGCCTCAGCACCCTAGCAAGAGCTCAGCTGCTAAAGATGATCACTAATCGACTAGAAAAATAGAGGAGGCAAAAATTCAGCTCCACGCCCAGGCACCTAGGCACCCCATCCATCTCTCTTTCACGCATAGAAGGCAGATGAAGTAGAAACCCAATTCCAAGCTTAGGCGCCTAGGCACCCAAACTTGGACACTGTGCTCCTCCCCTTGGCGCATAGGTGCGTGACACTGCCTTTTGACGGTTCTCACGATTTCGAGACTGTTTGAGCAAGAAGAAGCTTACAACAGGAGGATTTCGATAGGTTTAGAGGCATGCAATATTAACTAGACTCTTAGGTTTTCTCTCTTAGTGAGTGTGTGTATGAGTGTGCGAGTTTTAGTTCGTATTGAGAGAATTGAGAGGGATTCATGGAGAACACTTTATAATGTGATGATTTTTTAAGTTAGTTTTCTGTAATAAAATTTTCATTTTGTGATGATTTATGATGATAAGTATATATCTCAATCCTGAAGAAAATATTTATATACTCCACTAATAATGTCAAAATGAGACTTATTTAAGGTTTTATTTAATAATGTTTTAGGCAATTTTGTTTCATAAATATTTTATAGGTGATGAATAACAACATTTGGAGCAATGATCAATTTGGCTGAAGATGTTTAAGTGCCTCAGTGACCTAGCAAGAGCCCAGGTGCTCAAGATGATCACTAATCAACTAGAAAAATAGAGGAGGCAGAAATTCAGCTCCACGCCCAGGCACTTAGGCACCCCATCCATCTCTTTTTCACACGTAGAAGACAGATGAAGTAGAACCCAACCCCAAGCTCAGGCGCCTAGGCACCCCACTTGGACACTTTGCTCCTCTCCTTGGCGCATAGGTTTCTGACATTGCCTTTTGACGGTTCTCACGATTTCAAGACAGTTTGAGCAAGGAGAAGCTTAAAAGAGGAGAATTTCGATAGGTTTAGAGGCATGCAATATTATATAGACTTTTAGGTTCTCTCTTAGTGAGTGTATATGAGTGTGCGAGTTTGACTTCATATTGAGGGAATTGAGAGGGATTCATGGAGAACAACACTTTATAGAAGGAGAGTTTGATTGGAGCGAGAAGAGTTTCGATACAATTTCTATCTTTCCTTTACTTCTGTAAATTTTATTTTTCTATCAATGAATCCTCTTATGTTTTCTTTTAAAATGTTTAGGAACTAAGTTTTCATGCTTCTTTGATTTGGTAATTTTATGATTAATGTTAAATCCATGAGATTTCTCTAAGACCATTCAATGATCTAGTAAATGTTGGTATGCTAATTTTCTAAACTAAATTTGCATTCAAATTAACCACTAGAAAAGTTAAAAATTCTTGAGAAGGAATTAACTTTCAAAAGGGGCAATTTTTAATTTGTGTGATTGACATGAGCATCAATGTAAAGTGGATCAAGTTTTTAACATCATTGTTGGTTAATCAAGCAATTATACGTGTCGATCAAATAGTTTATGAACTATGAGTTTGTGTATCGATCCCCGCAGAAAATGAATTAACTTTCAAAGAGATTAGTTTCCAATTTATCAACTTCAATGTCTAATTTAAAATGAATTTTTTGAAAGTTTTTTTATGTTCCTAAATCGACTAAAGGCTAATATAACCATATTTTTTTGTTATCTAAGGCTGCGTTTGGGATAGATTATTTGCAGCGGTGGCATTTTCAAATTGCCACCTTCTGTTTGGATGTCACATTTCAGGAGCATTTTACAAAACTCATTTTTCATTTTACTATTAGACGCGAATCGCGGGTAGGATCCTGCGATCCGAGTTTAATAGTGTCGAAAGACAAACTGTCCTCTCTCCTGTGCCCTAATTTCGCAGCAAGCGGCAACATCGACTCCTCTCAGATCCCGCACAGCGATCCGCGTCTCCCTCCATCTCCGGCAATCGATCCGCGTCTCCCTCTATCTCCGGCAATCGATCCGCGTCTCCCTCCATCTCCGGCAAACATTACAAAATTAAATGATAGAAAAAATAAGATTTATAGAAATAAAGGAAACATATAACCCAAATTGAAACTTTTCTCACTCAAAGCTAACTCTTCCTCTTCTACAAAGTGTTCTTCCCCTTGAATCCCTCTTAATTCTTTCAATACAAAGTAAAACTCACGTACTCACTAAGTGAGAAAGCCTAGAAGTCTAGATAACACCACATGCTCTAGGTGGGGATAAAGTTTCTATAACCTGAATCTTTGTGTGATCTATCTCCATCATTCTCTCAGAAAGCACATGTCCTCAAACTATATCTTTAGTGAACATCAAATGATATTTTTTCTAGTTCAGCACAATATAAGTCTATTTCACATCTTTATAAAACTTTAGTAAGATGTTTAAGGTATATATATCAAAGGAAGTGTTAAATACTAAAAAATCATACATGAACACTTCAATCCCTCTAGAAATAAGATTCGAAAATATAGAAGACTCCTAAAAGTAAATGTACCGTAAGGACTGGTAAAAGTGGTTTTATCCTAGTCTTTTGGTACGACTAGAATTTAGTGGTATTTTGAATATCCGCCTAAAAAACAAAATTAAGAATGTTCTGGTAATCTATCTAACATTTGATTTATCCAGAAATGACAAGTATTACAAAACATTTCTAATAAAATTACATTCCAAGATATGTTATTGACTAACAAATGGCAATAACAGCTATAAAGTCCAACTGTTCCCAAATTAATTAGGTGGTACCTTTTTTTTTTACATATATACCAATCAATTCTTATATACTCACATATCTAACCCCTAAACTTCAATTTTTATATACATGCCACCTTTTCTATGAATTAGAAGATGTGTTCCACTTTTTGCTTTAAGTCTTCAAAAACTTTACTGCCATTCTTGTTCTGTGCAAAGCCTGATATCATACCATTCCAGGAGCACAAGTTCTGATCTTTATTTGTTTGAAACACAAGCTCCGAACTAATGGGGGCATCGAAAATACATGGTAATGAGAGTTGCATGTACCAATTGGACCAAATTATGGCTTGATCTGGGTTTCGCTTGAATTAGACTGGATCACCTTTGATAGCATTGCACTCATCTTGTTGAGATCATTATTTTGTCTATTTAAACATTGAATTTGAAAGATTATTTATCAAAAATATATCAAAGTTCACGCTTCGTGATAAAAATTAATTGATGACACGTCAACGTAATAATTCTCATGTATTTTAGAACAAGTTATTAAATAAATATAATAAGTAATTTATTTGTATTTACTTTACAAAGAACCAAACAAGTTCCCTCGGTTTTTGATTTTGCGCCCAATACCGACCGTATTTTTAATACAAAGCTCTTTAACTATTTTGGGAAATATAAATTATGTGGTGTTTTAACTTTTCGTTAAGCTTAATGATAACCAAAGTTAAAATTTTTGTATTTATTTCACTTTACACCTATTTTACATCAAACCAAACAGCCCCTTGGTGAGTTTGTTAATGAGCATGTTGGTTATTACTTTGTATTGAAAGAATCAAAAGGATTTCAAGGTCAAGAACACTTTGTAGAAGGAGACCTGGCATGGAGCGAGAAACTTTCAATCTGGTTCTATATTTCCTTTACTTTTGTAAACCTTATGTTTCTACCTATGAATTCTCTTATGTTTAAGTTGTTATGCTTTTTTATTTGGTAATGTAATGATTCATTTTCAATCCATGATATTTTCTTAAGACAATTTAATGATTTACTACATGTTGGTATGTTAACTTTCTAAACTTAATTTACTTTAAATTGGCCACTTGAAAAGTTAAAAATTCATGTGTTACAAGTCTATTGATCATATGATAAAAAGATAAATAAATTAACACTCAATAACTTAGTGAAATAAAAATATTGTCATTAGGATACTGTAATTACGTGAGCGACTCGAGGATTCATGAGAGACTTTGTAAAGTTAAGCAAACTTAACAAAATATAAAGCTCTGATGATTCTTATGTCTAGGAATAGAGTAAGAAGTAATTGTCTCTAATTGTCAAATTTAATAAGAAAGATTCATTGGAAGGATACCGATGAATCATATGATTCATTTTGAAGAAGCATAAAACTCAATTATACAACCCAAAAAAATATAGTTGGATTAATCTTTGCCCCGATTAGAAACATATAAAATATTCAAAAAATTCATCATCTCAAACTAGATGAACAAATTAATAAACAAGAAATTATCATTTCTGAAAGTTAAATCATTCTCTATGAGATCAATACACTGACTTGCAATATGCATAATACTTGATCGATACATCATTGACACCTGTATTACATCAGACTGGATCAAATTTTTAGCACAGTTGTGGGGATCAAACTCAAGTCACTCGTGTGACGGACGGAAATACTCACCACTATGCTACAACGACAACAGATCATTATAATATAGTGGTGAGTATTCTCTCCTGACTCGAGTTCGATCCCCGAAAATTGTGCCAAATTTTTGATCTAATTTGCAGTGATATAAGTGTCAATCATGCAAGTATATATTTCAATTAAATAGTATACATATTATGAGTCTGTATGCCAATCCCACTAATAATGAGTTAACTGTCGAAAAGGGTAATTTCAAATTTACTGATTCTTATGTCTAATTTGAACTGATGAATTTTCTAAAGATTTTTCATATTCCTAATCTATCTAATGTGCGTAGTACTTGATCGACACATATACTTACGTCATTGAAACCTGCATCACTTCAGATTTGATCAATTTTTTAGCACAATTGTGGGGATCAAACTCAAGTCACTCGAGTGACAGACGTGAATACTCACCACTATACTACAACGACAACAGGTCGTTATAATATAGTGGCAAGTATTCTCGCCTATCACGCGGTGACTCGGGTTCGATCCCCGATAACAATGCCAAAATTTTGATCTAATTTACAGTGATATAGGTGTCAATCACGCATGTATATGGCCTCTACACCTTCTAAGAGGCTGGTTTCTAAGTCCACTCACATATTAAACACTCATGCAGCCTAGGAAATTATTTGCACATGCATGCTTATTAGCTTCATGTACACACTCACTTAGGCTTCCACAAGCACATGCTTGCATAACTTTTTGCTCTCAACTTTTACTACTGCAAATCTCTTGATCATGCACATACATATGTGCACATTAGTGGGCCATGCATGCACAGTTGCGCACATCATTTATCCATCAACACATCCATGCACCACATGGCATTTTAGGCACATTCTTAGGTCATGGACACTAGCATGTATATTCTTGTCAATTACGCATCTCCTCTCATCACAACAACATGTGCTCATGTATTCACGTATTATACCCACACACTAATGTATGTCTCCATTCATCATGGCAACATAATATAATTATATGAGCACAATTTTAGCTACTACCCACCACACAAACTAATTCGCATGTTTTTGCACACATTGATAATATAAAACACATACTCCTTGCTCACATCACCAGCTAATTTTCCTTCACAAAACATATATTTCCTTAAAAAGAAAATATTTTTCTGTCCGGGCTCAGGACGTAGCTCTATGTGTGCACCTCAATAATATGCCGCCACATGTGCCGCATCATGGAGGTTATTTCAGAGTTATTGAAGTGGAACTGTGGATATTATTTCAGAGTTATTTTGGGGTTATTGAAGAGAAAACCATATATTCCACTTCAATAACCTCAAAATAACCCAGAAATAACATTTGCGGTTCCACTTCAATAACCCAAAAATAAAACTGCACAGGATATTTCAAGGTTATTTTGGGGTTATTGCGGAGTCCGCGATTTCACTTTAATATTTTTTTAGGTGGGCCCGATATAACACACATGGCGGTATATTACTGGTAGTCCGCTTGTAGAGCAACAACCGGAGTCCAGATAGAAAATTTTTCCCTTTAAAAATCCTTATATTCGCATGTTGTTTGCATGCCTCCATTATATGCATACCTTTTATGGACCTACTCATGCATCCATCCTTTCCATACTAAGGTTCATTGTTATTACATGCATATAGGCTAGCTTGGGCACACCACCAATTAGACATGCACACAACTCCTTTGCACACATAAAAGCTACGAATTGTCATTGTTGTACTCACACAACTTCATGTAAAACTTTGAATATGCAAGATCGTAATCCTTTTGTGCACATTCTCGCCAATGTTGTTATTACCACACATGCATCTTAACACATGTTTATTATTTTCTCATTATGGAAGTTTTAGCATGCCACCGATTTATTTGTCATTAGCAAATATAGTATATCCGTACACGACCATCAGTTGTGTCATGTACAAATTATTACATACACATACATTTTCTCACACACATACAAACACATCTAAATGCATACAACAACATTCATATAAGTTCTCGTAAGCAAGTACAATCACAAATATCTATTCTTTTTTAGACTAACAATAGTTTGAAGGCATTCATCCAATACCTAAGTCCCAACTAAAGAGCTTAGGTTTTTAATAGTAGAAATGATAAACCATTCAAACATATTCAAGTATGTATCTTTTTTAAAATAATTTTAAGAAAATATTTTAGTATATTTTTAAAAACATGAACTTATTTTTTTATTTATACAATTTACTTAATTTGTATATGTTATACTATTTATTCATAATTAGTTTTTAAAATATTTTTTTATTTTAAAATTTAATTTTTTTTATTTACAAGTGAGTATTGTTACACTACTTCACACATGTTCTACAAATTTTTTAATGTTTTGGCAATGAAAAAGAGATAGCTTAACATCTCATGTAATCTTGTATTATAACATTCATGTTATGCTACATCAATATATTATTTTTTTAATTAGAGCTAATAAAACATTAACCTTTTTAGGGCAAGCAATCTCCCCTTCTATTTATCAAATTTTCATTCAAAAATATTAAAATTCAGAAAAAAAAATATTTTTTATTAATTTAATTGCGAATATGTAAACATATTATTTACTAAATAAAAGTTTGGGACATTTACATGCATACGATCCCACACAATTCTTGTATTTACATATCTAATACCTTAACATGACTTCTTTTACATCTACATCACCAAAATCTTTCTCATCACACACACAAACACACAATATGAATTGAAGTTTAAGTGAGATACCAAAATACATAAGAATTGTGGTAAATCTTCTATAGAAATGGGTAGAGGCTACTATACAAGTCTCATGCTAGCAAAAAAATTTTCTGTGCGGACTCTTGACATAGCTCTATGTGCTGCGTAGGGTGTTTCTGAGTTATTTTCAGGTTATTTCTGAGTTATTTTCAATAATCCCGAAATAACCTGCGGTCTTTATTCTTGGGTTATTTCGAGATTATTGAAAATAACTCAGAAATAACCTGAAAATAACTCAGGAATAACCTGCACCGCACGTAGAGGTACGTCGGGTGCCCGGACAAAAAATGCGTGTTAACCTGAGAAGTCTTATACCAAGGATGTCAACCAACAGACTGGGGCACACGGGATAGATATGTATGCAAATACAATTGTTTAGATGTTAAATATGTACCTCCATAAAAATTGTGATATGCATGAAAATATCCCAAAATCTTATGCACTTAGAAATACAAAATCCTTAATTTTGCATTGCATGCCTATTCTAGTTTCGCAGGAGGCCAAGTGGCATTTCCATAATTATTTATTACACAAAACAAATAAAACCCTACGCGCACACTCCCGAGTAGATAACCGTCGCGGCGCGAAGCTGATTGTCCCTATCGACCCCCGCACCTCCCCAATTTAAACCCGATAAACCCTAACCCCCTTCCAACCTCCATCAATCATCCATGGCTTCCTCCTCTCTCCTTCTAATCCTCCCCCTCCTCCTCCTCCTCTCAGCCTCCCCCTCCCCCGCGGCGGCGACCCACCGCTTCAATTCCGGCCTCGATCGAGGAAGAAAGGTAGGGTCTTGGACGGAGATTCCCGACGCTGAATCTAATAGAGAGATTCGAGATCTCGGCCGCTACTCTGTAAATGAATACAATCACGTGTTCCGCGGCAGTGCGGAAAACCCTATCGTCTTCTCCGGAGTGGTGAGCGCCGCCAGACAGGTGGTTTCTGGCATCAAGTACCGGATTCGAGTCGCCGCCGTTGATGCCCGTACAGGCGATCGGCGTTTCTTCGACGCGGTGGTTGTCGTTCGCGCCTGGCTCCGGAATGGGGACCGCGAGCTTGTGTATTTCAGTCCATCGACTGATTAGGGTTTTCAGTTCTGTTTTTTTTTTATGTGGTTTGGTGAGGGAGATGGAGTGTTTGAGTTGTGCTGTGAGTTCTTGGAGGATGGAGCTGTTAACGGTTTTGTAATAATAAATAAGAAAGGTGGTACTTTTGATCTTTCATGACATGTAAACGGGCTCGTGTTCGGATCGTTTATATTTCGAGCTCAAAAAATGTGTTCGTGTTCGGTTCATTTGTTTAATGAGCTGAACATGAGTTGTACACGAACAAAGAGTCATTTTAACAACACTAATCATGACAATAAAGGTTCGAGCAATTATAACATCATTTAAATCTAATTTAATATTTTTTATTCTATTTTCTTAATCAATATTTTAATTGATTATAAATCTTTGTAGTCTTGTAGTCAATTAATTTTTTTAAAAATACTACTTAATATATATATAGACAGTCAAAGGCAATTTACATCATTTGAAACTCCATTGAATTTGATGAAATCATAAATTTCTAGAAAATTACTTATGTGATAACTCATATCATCGTTCAACCAATTATTAACTTGGAAGTTTTGGATCATTTGAAGCTTTGTTAATCGTTTTGATTTCAAAGTTATATTTCATGAAAATTTAGCTTCATGATGGCTTGAGAAATTCCAATAATAGTATGTAAGAAATAGTCCCTGAAAGATTTTCAAGCTCCAACATCTTTTCCTGTAGACTCCATTGTGGTTGATATTGATCTAGCCTTTCTTTTTCGTTAGTTATTCGTGGCACATGAGTTTGATCTCAAAATCAATATTGAGTAACTCATGGACACTTGATTTCATTTTAAACAACTAAAAAAAATTCTGAAAAATAATAAAACACATAATAGAAATTATTAAATCTAAAAATAGAAAAAAAAATTAAAATAAAAGCTTGACTTAAAAATTAGTTTTAAGCAATAATTTAAAAAAAATGTGAAATTACAGCGCTAATAAGTGCAAATTGTCATATAATTTTTATGTTTTTAAAAATTTAAAATTTAAAAATATATTTGATTATGTATTTTTTATTTACAAAAATACAAAATTTTACTTGTGTTTCTTAGCACAGGTAAAATGTTATCGCTGCAAAATTTAGAAGAATCAATGATCATCCTCAACCTATGAACTTATTTTACCCTTTTTTTTAATTCAATGTTTCAAAAGGAAAATAAAGAAAAGCAAGAGAGCGAGAAAATATTTCGTCCGCATTTTCGGACGACCAACCACCGGGTGTCATGTCATTTGTCGATGAGGTGTATGATGACATATGACATGACGCCCGATAATTGACCATTTGAACCGTGTGGTGTCCACACGGAAGCAACAATTTCCAAACAAACAATTGCTTTCACAATCTCACCTTATTGATTTCAAGTACCAATTATAGCGCACAAATTGTTTGATGGAATAGCTGAAATGAGATGTTTAGTACTCAGATGATGGAGGAGTCGAAATGGATGTCAGATATATGGTGGACTTGCTCAGCCTTATGGATAAGAGTCTTTGAGTTGCTATGAACAAGCTTGGTGACAATAGAAGAGATATCCTTAGAGAGTGGGGTGGCAATATAAAAAAGATAAGAAGATGAAGATAAAACGATTCAATTAAGTGATCACCCATATAAGAAAAATAATGGCATAAAGCACATCCAAGCTATTAAAACCTGATATTAATCACACTGCTAAAACATGACATTCAAAAGATATACTTATATGCTCAATTCATTCAACAAAAGCTCTCTAACAACATATGCCAATATAAGATTTACTCATGAGTTTCACTATACATAAGAGAAAAATAGAACTAGGATTCTCACTAAGGTGACTTTCTTCTTAAGAAGAAAATAGAAGGAAAAGATCAAAAGAAAAATTACAATATTAGAAAGGGGTCCAAACATAATAAAATCTATTCATTATCTTCTTAAACATTTGCTCAGCCGCCAATGAATAAGAAAATCAATCAAATAAAAGTCAAATCTATAAACAAAGGTAAGTTAGACAACGTGATCAACTAAAAAGGCCAACAGCTCTGACTTATTATCAAGAGTTTTTACCTAGAGTGTTAAACAAAGGATCTAAATTTGAAGGCACAATTGCAACGTCCTTAGGGGAACATTTTCATTTGCTCTTTGAAAAGCTTTAGAAATACGAGTGCTCTTAGAATATGATCTTGGACTTCATTCTTTTCACTAAAAAAATAAAACAAAATTTAATATGCTAATTGGTAAACATTTAGAATTAAGTCTATAATTTTCGATTTCCAATACATTGGCTCATTAACTCCACTGACAAGGGCAATAAAACAACATAAATATTTAAATATACCATTTCATAAAGGAATGAAACTAAAAAAGTTTTTGAGTTATTGTTGGTATTACAAATATTTTAAAGTAAAATATTAAACAATTATAATATTTTAGTATATTCAATTATAAATTTGGTTGAATTACGACGTGTCTTTGGTTGGAGCCCCAACACTACTTTGGAGAGACTATGCATTTGCTACCCGAGCAAATAGCGCTCCAACGTTGGACCTTAGTGCATATGAGCCTACACTACCTATTTCCTGGATCTATTTTGGTGCCTATGCATTGCCCCTTCAACGCTTAGATGTCGTGCCACCTTGTCCTCTCATTTATCTAATCCATTCCCTCCCTAGCAATCGAATACAAGAAGGAGAAGAAGGAGAAGAAGGAGAAGGAAGATAAGAAGTAAAGAGGAAAAAGGAGAAAAAAGAGAAGAAGAAAGAAGTATTTGGGTTTCCTAGTGTATAGGTGAGATCACCTCATCTTTTTTATTCATTTTTCTTCCATATTTTTAATTTTTTTTTCAACTTCTTCATTCCCCTATCCCATTTTCATATCTATATATCCTACATCTTTTGCTTCATGAAACCTAAAACTATGGGTGGTGGAAGAGAACTTTATTTCATGCCAATAAGTTTGTTAGTATAGAAGCTGAAGAAAGATATAATGACTTTTTGGTATAAAAAAAGGTTCATTTTAGAGAGAGGGTTTATTCAACCTAGTGGTAAGGTAAAAGGCGCGACCATGAAGAGAGAATGAGAGATTATTTTAGAAACTAGAATGGCGATAATTCTAGTTATAAGATAATTTCAAGTTAATCTGAAAGAGTATGAGGGGGAAATGTATTTGTGAGAGGGTAAAAGGTCAATTTTTATTCCACAAAAATCAATTCACTCATTGATCCACCTGATATTGTAAAGAAATTTTATTCTAGTTTTATGCCTTCTAGTTCTGACCTAGATGACAACTGATTGTGGTGTTTTGAAGATTCGTGGTGAAAAGAAGAACATGTTTCTAGCCTCCATCTTGAATGTTGAGTTTAAAGCTAGACATTACTTTATTTCTATAAAACTTCAGCCTTCCCCAAATCTCAATGAGGAAATGAGAGATAGAGCTATATTAAATTGTCTAAAGTAAATTGTACAACCAAACTTAGGATGGTGTCATGTAGTAGTAAATCATATTAAGATGCCCAAAATTTCTATTCATATAAAAACTTACAAAGTAAAACAAATAGTCATTCAATAATTAGTTTCTAAGCTAATTTAATTGTAATTTAACATGAAAAGGTTTAAACAAAGAGAGACTTTAGATATAGTTAATTAATCATAGATACTTTAGCCCATGATTCTTAATTCAAACACTACCTAAAACTTAATTATTAAATAAATTATGATATTTCTTTGAATACATTTGAAAAATGTAATTAAGTTTTATAAACTTAGAGCGGATTAAACATTAAAAAATGTATAAAAAATATATACTTAATTTTCTGTAAAAAGAAAAAAAAATTAAAACAAATAAAATGGGAAAAAAATAAAAGATTAAGATGCCAAAATAGAAAAATTATTATATTTGAGAAGAAACTTGAGGATAAGCCTATACAGGAAAAAATTTCAACGAAAATTAAATTTTACGTATTTTTGACCTGATCATCGATAGGGCTGTCTGAACGACCTTGAATGATGAAACAGACAACACGAGTGAGCTCGGAATGTCGATTTTGATTAGGAGAGCGTTCATTCCATCTCGAAGAAGTGTTCAAACAAAAAAACTCGCAAATACATCTTTATTAAAAGTCACGCATGAGCTTATCCCCTCACGCCTCTCTTATCTCACACACATACTCTCTCTATCTAGGTTGTATGATAAAAAAAAAATCTCTCCCTCTCTCTCTCTATCTCTTTCTCTATCTCTCTCTTCTCTACATACCACAGCAGCCCTTGTTTCTCTCCTTTGTTTTGCTTCCCCCTCGGCAAACCCCCTCCGGCGAGCTTCTCTCTGACTAACTCTTCCAGCGGCCAGCCACCAGCCACGGTCAGTCAAGCCTCTCCCATCTTCCCTTCCAAAAAAAAAAAAATGGAAACTTTACATACACACCACCCAATTACTTTATATTTGCACAAAAAAAGAAGGATTTACATATATACCACTCTATACCACTCAATTTATCGCATATATACCACTCAATTTATCGTATTTGCACAAATAAAAGAAATTAAAATTTACATACATACCATTCAATGCTTTTTATTTACAGCAAAACAAAAAGAAAAGGGGGAATTTTACATCGATGCCACACAATTCTTATTTATTTATAAAAAAAATTTTACATACATACCATCCAATGCCTACCTATTTGCATGCTAATAAATTTACTTTCATACCACCCATTTTCTACGTATTCGCATACATGAAAATCTTACTTACAAACCACCCAACTTCTATGTATTAGTAAAACATTTTTAAAAAAAAAAAAAAAAAAAAAAAAAAAGATTTACATTCTTACCACCTTTTCTCATATATTTACATTTTCACCACCTTATTCTCATATCATTATACGCCTAAGCCCTAACCTTGTTTTAAAAAAAAGGGGAAAATTTACATATATGCCATTAATCCTTTGTACTTCCATGTCTAATTCCTACACTTTTGTGGTTACACGCATGCCACTTATAGTCTGTTTGGGGCAATTACAACTTATTGAATAATCGGTTGATAAGCTAATTAAAATAATCTGTTTAAATTTTTATTTTTTTGGAAAAGTCAGACCACTGTCAGAAAGCTGCCACCGCACCTAGATAAGTGCGATATGAAAATGTTGTTTTCAGCGT